CTTTGTTCTTTTTTTCAGAGAACAGATATTCACAAAAGCCGGCAGATGTTTCCTCAACTCATGATGTGCCTTAACATACAACTCTCTTCAGAGTAGATAAAAGTGTTGACATTTATTAAAAGGTAAATTCTTATAGGCTCTACTTGTTACTTCTTTGATGTTTTTATGTGAATCTGGCTCTATTGAGATTCTTGGAGAGGTTTGTTTGTATATCACCTTACTTATTGATACATAATACCCATTTAATTTGGAAACAAATTCCCATTAAATTCTATTTGAAAAGTTTCAATCAGTTATTTTTCAGCCAAAGGAACAAGAAATAATTATTTGAATTGACAGTTTTTAATATTTTGTATTATTTTGTTTGGAAGAACCTGAATATTTTGTTTTTATTTGAGAACGAGAAACAATGACCTTTTTATGATGAAATACTTTGTTCAAATTTTCTAATTTCTTCCCTGATAGCATATGTCTTTGCATTTCAATTAACTTTATATACTTTCATTCATTGTTTCCAATCTTAAGTAATTTTATGTTGAAGACCAACATTTTTTATTATAAAATATTAATACTTTGCCATCATTACAGTTATTGTTTCAACCACAGCAATTGTCTCTTATTATTTTCTCTTTCTTTAATCATCTTTATTTCTGATCTTTCTAATCTTTGTAGCAATAATCTCCTTTCTTCATTCAATTATTTATTTCTCATCCTAATTACAGTCAATTTTCAATTAGTTCCCCACTCTTTCTGCTTTTTCTGTCAGTTGAATGCTTGGTCTATGATTATAGCCCTTACACAGTGCCAGAACAATTTCCGGCATCTGGTACGAGGGTCTTGTAGTGCCAAGAAATAAAACAGGGGCAGAATCAAGCCGTGACTTCAGTGCTGGGGACCTGGCCAATTAATCACTCAACCAAGACGAGAGCCATAAATATACAAACGTGCAAATCACACAAGGCCGGAAATTAATGGTAAGCACCAATAATCAAATATGGAAGCAAAGCAGGCCAGATTTATTCTTATCTTTCTCTTTCTTTTCATTTTTTTCTTTTCTTTTTTTTTTGGCTTGCTTAATTTACTTGATTTTTGTTACTTAACTGTTTTGTTTGTTTCAAGGCTTTTGATCTTAGCAAAGTTGAATATGTATGAAGTTCAGTCACAATTGGATTTTGCTAACAAACATCACCTACCTGACACTCAAAGTTTATTGTATCAGCATATAACCACATTTCTTACTGAAAAAAAAATCTATATACAAAATACTGTGATTTCCATTAGTCCATATGTCTGTCACACCCTCTAAAATAGCCATACATTGACCGATCAAAACCAAATTTGGGGGAGAAGTGCAAACAGATAAGGGGTACAAAGTACAGTCAGTTTTACGAGGGTGCATAGCATAGTGCAATAAATTTTCATTCATTTTTTTTTTGAAAAATTAAGTTTTTATTATTTAATAATTTAATGATTAAAATAATAAGTACTTATTTAGTAAAAATGCAATATTTTTTTTGCATATCTTTTAAGTTTTTATATATATTTAATTCTGGTATATATAAAAAAATTTTCATCAATTGGTTTGCAAAATTTGACAAAAAATATTAGGAATAACTTCAACAATTTACACTATTTACATTGTTCGGACTGTTGTCCTTATCATTATTGTCAACTTCATGATGTTTTGGCCATTATATATTCCCACCTTCATCAGATGATATCCTAAGCAGGACAAGCATAGATATGAATACAATATTGGAACCAGTAATACAGAGCGCACAAGAAAAACAATAGTAATAACAAACTGTAATATGAGTTCTGGTAAAAATGGTTACTAAGACATTAGTTTTCTAAATCCCAAAAATTCATACATGGCTCAGTGGATAAAAGTGTTGGTTGAAGTAATCCAGGGACTTGACCCAAAGAGTGTAAGTTTAATACCTGGTCACAGCAGAGGTGAGCAAAAAGTTGAAGAGTTGAGTTAGTAAATGTAAATTAACTGAAACTGAAATATCCAGAAGAGGCATGGCATGTGGAACTAGAACAATCCACCCCAGTTGAAATGTTATGAATAGGATAACAGTCCGAACAATCTAAATAGTGTAGATAGTTACAATACCTCATCTCAGAAATACAGACAGAACTTCAACAATACTGTGAGGATTTATACATGCTGATGCTTGACGCCAAAAAAAATTCTGTTATTTAAAAACTATCTCCTATGCCAAATTAAGATAATTGGTACCCAGGTACGAGTCTGTAATCCATAATCTTATTTTATATACTATGTCACTTACGGACATAGGAAGTTGTGGAGAACCATGATCGCCTATCTTTTGTATCTTATCTCTAAAGTAAGAGAATATAAATAGCTTCAGAGAGGAATTGAAGCCAAGCCTTTGATCGCATAGAATTGAAAGAAGTAAATTCTAGTTTGTTGTTGCATTCTGGCCAAAGAAGATTTAAAACACAGAAGGATAACAAAAACGTTACAGTTTTACTTGAAATAAACAACTTATACATTTATAAAATAATTTCCTTTGGAATCTTTTCAAATTATGGTGCTGTTTTAGTATTTACTCTACTCGGA